CCATATAAATAGAAGATTTTATAAATTTTGCACGTAATCTTTACAATCTAATTTATTCATTTTAACTAAAACAAAAACTTCTTCGTAACTTTAAAAGCATTATCTTTCCAACACATTCTTTATTCAAGCCGTTTGCCTCTATTCGTCGAATACTACCTCGCCCTAAACTTCCAAATCCTACCATTTTATTACCTGCCACAAATCATCGAAAAGAAACCCTTCACCCACAGAAAACCTAGTATTTCCACACAAAACAAGCCCAATAATTACCTCAATTGAAGGGTTTGCTGCGGGAATGAGGAAGCTCCACCTTCAAATTATTTTAGCAAATTAAAAAAAAGATCAATTCAGATTTAGATATTGCTTCAACTATGCTGCAAGTTTATAGTCAAGTAATATAACAAGGAACCCACATCTGTTTGATTGCTCCAATAAATACAATTACAATATTAAAGCTGCCTCCTTTTTGTCCCAAAGTAGAACAAAAACGAAAGTAACAACTAAAGAAAAGGAATTTAAAATGAAAGTATATTTTATTATAATTCTAAAATTTAATGTTAAAATTACATTTATTACAATATTAAAAATAACAATGTTTCAATAGAATATAACTTATAGCGTGAAATCATTTTAAAATAACCAAAATAAGAAATAAAAATAATAAGTACACAATAATAAATAATAATAATAATTAAGAATAAATATGTATATAATTTATCAGTAATAATAATAAATCACTTGAAGCTAATTCCTTTCTATACCAAATGTAAGATCACATTGTTAAAAGTGATACTACATATTCACCGAAAAATGTGTGGAAAGGTGCCTCCTCACAGTGAACCCTTCAATTTTCGAAACCGATAACTAAACGAACGTTATCTACGATTAATTACAATCACGCTGTTCGTATCGCGATGCGCAGACCGCTACCCGGTGCGAAGGCAAAATCGCGGTTGCCGCGCGAAAAGGGCGTTCTTTATCGATTCGAAACGATTTTAGAGGGTGGTTTTACCCCCGACGTTTTTGATTTGAGCATACATCCTCGATATACGAGTCTCGAGGCAACGCTTCGCCGCTTCGAATTAAGGGGTGAGCCTACGAAAGGAGCGCGGCCCTAACCCTGGGGTCGTTTCCACGGTCGCAACGGGACGGGGAACGGGCGGCCAAGAGATGGGAATATCGTGAAGAGCGGAACGCGGTACGCGGAGAATCGAGAATTCGGAACTGTCGGTCGGCCCAATGGGAAACCGAACCGAAGGACGCGCTGGCAGAAACGAAACGACATCGAACAAACCGACTGTTGATAGATCTAGGAGATTCAAGATATTAACATATTGTTGACTGACAATTTTACGCAGAAACTATCCCATGTCACCGCTTATTATTCCGTAATTAAATATGAAAGTGAAACAATCTAAATAAACTTTAATTTACTTTATTATTATACATAATGAATTGAAATGAAACTTTGGACATATCTTTTAGGTAACTTTGAATATTTTGCTTCTGCAAGATTTTGCTAATGCAAGTGCAAACACGAGTTAACTCGTGACCGGTAAACGATGTGTTAAGAAAGTTTTCGTTGCGAGAACTTGGTACAAAAGGGTTAGAGATCAATACAAAATACCAGCAAAAACGTAAATTACATTTCTGTTAACCGCTTGTCTTATAGTAACATGGCTCGTGGTGAAGATTTTAAACAGAACTTAACAAACATAAATATTACTGAATGTTTATGAATTTAGATTAAATATTACTCTTCTGTTAAAGTAAATATAGGCATAGAATGCACCTAAAATTTGTCTCTTTGTCAATAAATTATTAATTGCAAAATAGTTGGGACGATCATAGGTGAAAAATAAATCGTAGGGTAAATGGTTAACCAGTTAACTGTGAAATTTAGTTTGAAAAATCTCTCCTTGCGCGCGCAATAAAATCAAATAAGTATATACTCATCAAACGTAGCGCAAATACATCTATAGTATATTCTAAGAAAAATGTTAATCTAAAAGAAGAAGTAATTTTTTATTGGAAAAATTACCATTTTGCGTTTTAATGTGTAGCGTGTATACTCATCGAACGCAGTAAACTAGTCAACGCAGTCAACTTTTCGCGCCTCTTCAATTTAGAGATCGCTGGTCTATTGTAAGGGTCCAAGCACACCGTGTTCATTTTCCGTAGCTTTCAGCTCGAGGCAAAGGGACAAGCGACTCTCCTCTTTTCCTCCAACTTGGTGACCGTGAAGTAGCACGCATAATTCCCGAGAATGTCTACCGTCTTCATCATTAACCAACGCTAGAATTATTATCTTGATTGCGATCCTGAAATATCCAAAGTTTTCTCTTTGCGGAATTTAACGTAATGACAGCATATTAACCTGACAAAGTTTAACCGTGCTGCGTGTCGGTACAGCGACGAAATAAAAGATACCGTAAAAAAGAATCGGTTGTCATTTCAATTGGGGTACTGGTGGAATTATTTATTATTTAAATTTGAATAATTGATCCTGTCATGTTCGGGGAAAATTGGTAGAAGGAGATGTGGTTTCCGATCCCAACTATATACTTCTGTAACGTTTGATATGTTTTACATTTATGTGGCAGTGCTTCTGAGATTTTAATACCAGGTTTTTAGAAAATTTTTCTGATTTTTCAACTTATGACAGGTAATTTAAGTTTGTAGTCATTAGGGTTAGATTTGAAAAAATTTCTCTTCGAAAGATTTTGAAAGAAATTTAGTCTTTTAAGGGTGAAAACTCATATTTTAACCTCTTGCTTTATAATTTCTTTCTGAATTTTGATCGATCTAACTACTTTGTCATAAATGATTTATTGAAAAAGAGAAAAATTCTTGGGACATTCTGTCTATGTTTGTTACAAAGCATAATAATTCATAGCAGAATAATATTTAATTTGTATTTAAAAAATTGAGTAATTTGCTTGTTAAATTCTATTTGAAATTTTCCCCAGGGATCTGACACGATATCACAAGGCAAGAGGTTAATACGTAATCAATTTACAGTTTACAATCAATTCAACCAGGAACTACATCAACTATCTGATAGCTTCGAGCAGAACTAAAACGTAGACTACGATCCTTTACAAAAGGATAATATCATAAAACAAAATTTTCATTTTCACATCACTTTACTGCCGCACTCTATACTTCTATACCATTCGATTATAGGTTCTCCTATAAAATAAAAGGAAACTTGGAAAATTGAACGAAAATTATTTTACCATGGGAACAATTGAAATTCCTCTATGGAAATAGTATCCTTCAAAATGGATATGACCGAGGACGAAAGCGGTCGTAACGCTATATCACGCGTAAATGAAAATGTTCATATTGTTAGGGTAAGAGCCTAGACCTCGTGCTCAAAGCGTCTCCCGTGTCCTTTCGATTGTAGGTAACGTGAGTCGACTCGCGACTTTCGAGACCGATTTGCGTTCACGACGCCCGGATCGTTTCAGCGAAGTTACTCGAACGTAACTCGTACTATCGCGCGTACTTGTCACGTCTCCGCTGACAAATTATTAGCAATGGAAGCCGCAGGAATCGCGTAGGGTACGCGACGCATTGTCGCGACAGCGTAATTGACTTGAGGATCGTTATCCTTAAAACAATACCGCGCAACCTGACACGAATAGCGTCACAAAATTTGTCGAATCGATTCTTCAAATTTCGTGTTAGTTTACACGGTTGAAGTAACGAGTCAACTCGCAAACGTACAGTGCCTATAATTAGCAAATATGAAAATTACGAAATAATAATTACAAATAAAATTAAAAATAAAAATTGAATGAAAGTATACAACAGCTATAAGTTTTCATTTAATATTGTTACTGATTTTAGTGGCTAACCTACGAAATTTCGAAGCAATGCATTTATTAGTGTTCTTAACAAATTTTCAAAAGTCGTCTTGTCCCTGAAGTTTTATAGTATAAGAATGCTTCTTTAAGTATTTAGAGCATTTAGAAGGTTTTAAGAGCAAAATGGATTCCAGCAAAAAGTATATAACAAAATGCATTCTTCTTATTTATAATCCTCTGTACCTCCAGCCATCACAATACTTGAAAGTGGAATGAGAACATTCCTCTGCGCATACTTAAGTATAAAAAAGGCGGGACACTTTTCATTCCACCGTACTCTAAAGACTTAATCCTTCCACAGTTCCCATTTCATCTACTTTGAAATACCATCGATAAAATAGAAAACACACAGTCTAATAACTATTTCCTTATATTATCCCCAAATTTTAAAGTATCTTGGACAAAACAAGAACACAGCTAAATTGAAAGAAAGTAAACGATCGAAAAGGTGCTAAGAAGATGTAAACACGATCGGATAAATAAAGAATCGAAAAACATAGCAGAATTAACCCCTTGTCACATAGTATTGAGTCAGACTCATAGAAAAGTTCTTAACGCTAGAACTACCGATCACTTAAACTAACTTTTACCAATTTCTGTATGAAAATCATAAGCGTACGTTTATTAAGTCTTCAATTGAGTTGTACTTCAGTTTTGCTATTACTGAATTAGTTTCGTTAATAAGTTTTCGTAGAAGTATCCGTACGTTCTCAGTAATTGTAAAAGAAGAAATAATAAATAAGTCATCTTGACCCATCTGGTAGTTCTGGTGTTAAGTACGCAAGTTCCAAAAGCGAAATGTCACTCAATTATTTTAGATGCAAATAAAATACTATTTTCCTGTTAATTATTGCGTTCTGAAACAAAGGTGGATATAAACAAATGAGGAACTGTTGTTCGTTTCCTAGCAAATTATTTACAACAAAATATATTCTAGCGAGCGTTATGAAACAAATCTCCGGGATTAAATATCCAAAACGCGCGTGTTCGAGTCGACCGACATCCTTCCATGACTGGCCACCCAGCCAGTCATCAACTTCAACAGTGACCAAGGTGCATCCTCGTCAAGAGGCGGCGACCGCTGAAGGTTCTACAGAATCCGTGGGGCGACAAACGAAACAAACAAACCTTTGCATTCATTGGCATCCCTGGCGGTGGCCCTAGCCCATGGCCGGTCGAAGTGGAACGGCCGACACCTCTCGCAATCCCTGCCGGCGGTGTTGTGGCTGCACTCGCATGCGAGCTCGCCGTCCTTGCCTGGGACGCACCTTGCCGCGTGGCCGTTGCACTTACACCTGCCGCCGACGGCGAAGTCGGAGACAGCGTAGTGATGCGCGAGCGTGCTGGTCCCCAGGTTGCTGGTCAGGGTGGTGGTGGTGGTCGGCGTGGATATGGTGACGGCGGACGCGAAGCTGATGTCGCCGACGTCCACCGCGTCATTCGATTGCATCTCTTGCGGCGCGATCACCTGGTGAACCGAGGGCAACGCGGTCGCTAAAGGATCAACCGCCCCGCGCAATAAAGACTTTTGATTCTTTATCCTCTCCTCGCGCTCCCTCTCGCGTTTAGCGATCTCTTCGAGCCCGAGACCCAAACCGTGATCATGGTCCCTGTCATCCCCGTTTCCACTGCCTAGCTGCGAGACTTGGTCCTGCGACGACTGCTGCGGCATGTGCAAACGATTAAAGACTACCCGGACATCGGTAGCAGTGACCCAATCCTGGAGTATAGGCGAATTGTCGAAGTCCGATGCGGACGGTCGACCTTCCAGGGTGCTGAACGCGATCCTGCCAACGGGGCCTAGGCCGTCGCCGCCGGTGTACCGGTGGCTGTCCGTGCACCTGGCCTCTTGCTCGTTCTCCTTGGTGATCGTCGCCCGGTTTGGCCTCCCGTAGACCCGCCGGCACTGGGACGAGTAGAACTGGAACGGCTGCCAGGTCTTCCCGTAGTCCATGGACTTGTAGATCGCGATTGAGTCCGGCTTTGCCGCTTTCGGGCAGAACTGCAGGCTGACGTAGGTCAGTTCGTACTTCTTCCCCAGGGAGAGGGTCAAGGTCACGTTGTCGGGCGGCGCGGAGAAGCTCTGAGACGTGACCAGCGGCTCGCTGCGCCAGCAAGTCACGTTGCTCGGGTTGTTCAGGTCCGTCAGGTAGCTGGCCGGGAAACGTCGCCGCGGCGTGCTGTCGTCGCAAATATGGCACTGACCTATGCCGGTGCTGCCTCCCGGCTGTTCGGTCACGTCGCAGTATCTCGTCGGGCCGCCGCTGCCGCAGGTCGACGACGCCTCGACCGCCGCGCCGAACGCCGCGTTCACGAAATCAGGGATGCATCGGCGGGGCCGGTCCTCGTCGTAGCACGGGTCCGATGAGGCGCGAGTGCGGAACCGCAATAGTATCACTCCGAAAAGGAGTCCCAGCATCCACGCCGACTCGCTCTTCATTATTCAGCTTGACTCCCTGACCTGATCGGGTAACGCTCGGGCTCTTATCCTCTTCTTGCTTCTCCCTTCTTCGTTTCCTTTATCCCTGTCCTCTTTCCTATTGTCCTTTCACCCCTTCCCCACCCCCTGCAACCCTCACCAACACACAAGTTCCTATCTTAATTCTTCCTTCGGCGATTCCCTTTTCTTCCCTCGCCTCTGTTGTCCGCGGTTTTATCAATCTTTACGTATCGGTTCTCCCGGGGAGGAAACGGACAACCGGTCAACAAACGGAGGGTAGCGATCGCGTGCAGAATCCTGTTCCAACGCTACCGTCGCTACAACTCGAAGATCCTACGCTCCTCTCCTGCTGGTCATCGCGGCCGACACGCTAACCCTCGCGAACATCAATGTACCCGCCGCGGCGCTCCGTTTCCGATTACCAGCGACTCGCATCATCAATGAACCGTGCCGAAACGAGACCCCGCGCGCGGTCGATTCGAATCCTCCACTCGACGTTTTACTAGATCCCCTTTATCTCGCCACTGAAGATACGTCCGAACGAAACGTTTTAGCGGAACCGCTTCCGCGATCGAACTTCACGGCCGTCCCACCGGGATTCAACGTGTCCGATCGAGTCCAAGGGAACTTCCCGGCTTTGACAGTCTCATTTGCGAACGGGTTCGGCCAGCGCGCGCACGCCTCTTTTTCACACACGACACGTTTGGCCCGCGGAAACACGACACGGAACGAAACGCGGGTGAACTGATGCGCACGCCAGGTGAACGAGAACGAATGACCGGCGACGACGAGGCTCTACCGGGGGCGTCTCGCCGCTAACTGAATCACCGTCCTTGCACGGTGTGCATCCGAACTGTTCCGAGTCCCTCTCTTCAGCGCCGTGCTCCCCCCACGCGGCTCCTTCCATCGGTCGCTCGTCGCTCCCTCTCTTCAACGCTTTGACCGTCGGCTCGCACCCTCTTAACCGAGACCAATTCCTCTCCGGCCAATCCGACCGCGCCGCCGCTCGCACTCGCAACCCCACTACCCGCTTTCCGCCACACTGGATCCGTGGATCCAGCGGCCGTGGTCTGCGCCGAGCCGAGCCGAGCCGAGCGCGTCACCGGAAGTTGACCGACCACCGGGTCCAACAGGACGATTCCCTCTCCTTTCTCGGCCGGCGAAGGATCGCGAGGAATCCTTTGCTCGGGGTTAACACGTTCACCGCCACGAGAATTTTCTGCGTTTTGTGTAACGTTTCTTATTCTTTCGTGACAAAGGCAAATGGGATTGGAATCAATTATTAACCTGTTAACTGTGGAATTTAGTTGGACAAATTTCTCGTTCTGAGCGCAACAGAATCAAATAATGAAGTGTGTACTCGTCGAACGCAGAACGAATGCACCTAAAGTATATTTTAATGAAAAACCAAAGTAAAACGAAGTAGAAGTACATGTTTATCTGAAGAAATAAAAAATGCATCGTTGAAAGAATTAGTATCATTTCGAGCTTCAAGATGACGTGTATACTCGTCTAGCGCAATTAACTGGTTAATTCGTTGTTTTCCGACGAAATGTTGATAACATTATTTACAACTAACGCAAAGAAAAATCTTGCATAAATTAAGGGTTCGAACTATTAGGTTGGTGCATACAAAATTTCGGGTTTTTCTTATTAGAAAATGTTTGTGCTCCTATTGTTGTCATTGCTTTGTTTTTCACGTAACCTCTTAAACAGTTTCATTGTCTATTGTCCGAGTAACGTTTCGCGAAAAAGTTTCTCCGAATTGTGCATAATAACTATTTGTTGGACTCTTTTTCGGAAACCTGGATACCGCCAACAGTCGTGTAATGTTATTATATGAATTCAAACTTGGAAGTAATGCTATAGAAACCGTTCAAAATATAAACAAAGCATTTGAAAGCAATACTGTGAATGAAACAACAGTGCAGCGTTGATTTGCGAAATGTTTCTGTGATGTTTCTATGCAAGATATACCGCGTGGTAAACCCGAAACAGTAGTTTATAACGATGTCTTTAGAATTTATTAATTTTAAACATTCTAAATTTGTCAAAAAGGACTGTATTCATTAAAAACGCACGGGTAGAAGTGTATCGAATCGAATGAAATATATTTTCATTGAATAAACATCTTTTGGAATGTGATATAAGGTTTCCTTTTTTTCCGCGAAATCTAACATTTCATATGCATCAACCTAATAAAATGTTACTCATTCTTTAAGAAAGACAAATGGTGTTGGAATGAATTATTAATCATTCACACTCGACAATATTTTCCATTCTAAATATTCGTTATTTTCCGATGAAGTATTGATAATGTTATTTGCAATTAAGGCAAAGAAAAATCTTGCATAAATTATCCTTTAGCAGTCCGGGTTGTTTTGTAATCTATCAGCAACTGCAACTAATTTTTATAGTATTCCCAGCGAAAATGAGAAATACTATAACATTTCTTCGATGTTTTATTTGCCTTCTTAGTACAAAATTTGGATGTGCGGAAAATCTAATAATTTTAGGGTAGTTTCTTTAAGATTCATTAAAATATTTAATATTATAACTGGTGCAATATTGGAACCTACAGAGTTTAAAGGGTTAAGAGTCAGAATTATTTTACGTCTACGTTTTATATATCGATACCTTATGCAAACTTTAATACTAACTTTCGTAATTATACTGTCTTGAATCAAACGGCGATAGAGTTACCTCTCGATAGCGAAGGGTTAACGATTTGGTATCGTAGCTCTTAAATTGCACTATTGTTTAGTTACTCAAGTTACTAAATATTTTTATTCGACATCAGTTTTCTTCTCGCAAATTTTTTCAAATAGTTTGACAGCTCCGGTCAGCAGTGGCTACCGTGACTGTCAACGTGTTAACCCTTCGCGATGCGAAATGTTCTTGTGTGAGCATAGGTCAATGAAGCTTAATTCGACGAAGTGAAAGTTTTCTTTAACACTTTGACTGCCACGTCACCCGAATTCAGATGACGCCATTTTTCACATAAACTTAAACATTAATTTTCTTGTGACGTGTCGAACGAACCGAATTTTGTTGGGTGTATGAGATATAAGAAAGACAGTAGAGCAATCATGATGACGAATGTTGACTTTTTAGTTTTCGCTTTATCAAGAAAACTGTTTCGCCTGCATAGAAGTTTTGATGTGTATTCAATTTAATTTAGAAATACGACAAGGCTTTTTGGCCAACCTAGTATATTAAAATTTGTAACAACAATAGAATATAGTAAAGATAATCGGAGATAAAGAAAATGTGTTCATTATCGAAAATGTTTTCGAATATGATACATTTCAAAACACATTGCTACAGGTACATAAAGTAATGATAAGATTACAATTTTTTGGAAAGCCAATGTAATATGGATTCTATATCCGCCGAAATAAAAATTACGAATATTATTATATAAATATTACGATCATTTATTTATAAGTATTTTAGAATACTTATTCAATAAACCGACGTGGAGACCACGTCACCCACAGTTAAAGGGTTAATCCCTTGCCCTATAATGACAAATAAGACTCGTGCTGAAAATTTCCAGATTAATTGAATAAAAATCAATGTTCCTCATAGCACATTGATAGAAGCAAAAGACTGCTACGCTATTTTCAATATTTCACCTTGAAAGTTAATACGTACTTACACTAAATGAAATATTTCTTAACATTTCTTGCAAATTATTGTCAGCAAAATTACACGGTTGGTCGAGCTTAGTCACAAAGAAAATCATATGGTAAGCTGTCAATCTAGCGGGATGATTGCTCGCTTCTTTGGACTGTGGAGGTATCTATAGAGACAGGAGGAGTTTCAGGCTTTGAACTTTAGAAACAATTTTTAATTCGGGAAAAGGTTGATATAAATAATATTATAAATTGATATAAGGAAAATTATAAAATTTGATAGTCGATGTTGGATTTTGTATAGAGTGATGTAGAAATAAGATAGTTGTAAAATATGTTATCGACATTTCATCGGAAAATGATTATTTACAGAGAAAAAAAACTTTCGAATGTAAAGGGTTAATATGTGATATTCGCATCCCTGTTAATTGTAGTAATTCATTATTGTTTCATAGGTTTGGCTTACTATTCGACAGCAACGAAGTTTTGAACTGAACGATGAAATAAGTAGATATACTTTCAACACCAATTATTTGATTAAAGTTGATTCTGAGTTCTAGAACAAGTGCCTCCTATTTTTCAAAAAACGGTAGACATAGCATCCTACAACTAAAGTAACCAATAAACAAGTGCTTTCGGGAAGTGTTGGCGGTAGGTGATAAATACGACAGGTTAATTAAATTTGCTCGAAGAACAAGTAGAAACTTGCTCTCACAAAATTGCTAAAAGAAAAGGTAGGTTCCAGCAGAATAAGGCAGCTGTGCACACTGTTGGCATAGTTTAAAATTACTTGCAAGCAGGAAATGCAAACATTTTAAACCGATCACCGAAGTCCTCTGATGTTAACATTATGAAGAACGCCAGGGGAAGATTTAAAAAAATGGTATGAGAAGATAAAAATCAATATAGTACTCCTTTTGAAATGAAAACAGGTGTTTTATAAATCTATCAAAACTTTAAAATGTCTATTAAAACTTTATCGAATATTTCTATTAGATTGTACACGAAAAACTCGAAATGCAATCAATGTATTCGGCTGATGCAAAAGTTTTCAGGTTTTTTTATGGGAAATAAAGAAAAGATTTTTCAATTGTTGGCTGGCTAAATCAAAGCTAAGTAAAATCGAAGAAAAAAGTGTTTATACAGACACTTATAAGCACAGATAAAAAAAGTGTTTATACACGTTATAATATAAAAACGGATGTTATTTGTTTCGAAGAAAATAATTTATTTGTTAACCACGTGCAGAAAATGTCAAAATTTTTGCATCAACCCAATAAGACTAAGTACATAAGAAACTTTCCTCTGTAACCAGTCTTTCGAAGAATTATTTATTTTATTTTTGTTAACACTAAATTTACTAACATTTATTCTATCGTTCCTAGAAAACTACATGTTTCTTCATATAGATGGCGCAAATTACAGCTTCAAGAATAGAGAATTACAACGCGTATTCT